TCAATAAATTAAATGGAAAATCAATGGGTTAGGAGTCGCATAGCCCGTATAAATCATCAAATGGTCACAAGTATAGGTATGGCATCATAGGCGCGAATAAAGCGTGTCAATCGCACCTTATTGAAACTTGGGTCTGTCTTACTATAGCATGACAAATAAATGATATCTGTTTTAGCCATGACGAACACTGAGCATTAAATATTATTGTTCACACATCGCTCATATCTCTCGTGATTTTTCACACAGAAACATCTTTCTATTAACAACATTGTTGCATACATTACCAACTTGGTCTAAAATTCAATTTTTGCATGCATTCTTTTGAATGAAAAATCAAGGAACGAAACAACCACGCATATTTGCCATGATTCAGTAATTTACAAACTGGAACATCATAAAACTGGCATTCTAAGCGGTGTTATTATTGCTATTCTATAAGAAATAAGGAAAATGCTGAGAAGAAACGACAGCGCTAAAATAATGAGTGAATAATGGCAGCACAAGCGTATGATGAATAACAACAGCCAGCAATAATATGGAAATGGCAACGAAGAATAAGCAGAAGTGCATGTAAAAGTTGGCAACAGAAGAATTAATCCTCATAGAGCTGCAAAATAAATCAAAATTGCAGTTTAATATTCAAATAAAATATTATATTGGTGGAAATTATACCTGCCATATGCTACTAAAAACCTTAGGGCAGCTATAAACACAAAAGCTTCATAGAATAAGATCAGAACCACTGCCACATATTTAGTTAATATTTTTAGTTATTTATTTGATTTTTAGATTTATTTTCAGTTATTTTAGTTATTATAGTTTAGTTATAGTTTATTTTTAGTTTTTTATATTTAGATTTATTTAGTAGGTAAAGAAGTATATTCCCACATATGAGAAAAATTGTTTAAATTATGAGAAGCACCTCATTGTTTTCACTTTGGCAGAAAATTTCGTTTTGAAAAACTGAACTTTCTTCCTGACAAAAAATGCCAACAAATTTTCAGTAGAACAAAAAAATGTGGCGGCAAATCATGTGTCTGGGCACTGGCATTATCAAGTATTATATATAAATAACTGTAGACCTGGGAATATGTAACGAATAATTGTTACGTTCAATGGCGCATCGTATAATTGACAATATTTTAGGGAAATAATAAATAACATAAATTAGAATCAACAATAAACAATAATAAACGAAAACTGCGGAGATCAATGTTTCACGGGATGAGATCCGCATGAGTTTTGAAACCATGCTGCAAAATGAACTTCGTAAGTTGTAATCAAAACAAACTGAAAGATTAATAACAAAATTGTATGAATTGTTACCAAAATGTACTAAGAGGGAATAAATATTTTCGTGTACGTGTTTGTAGTAACTAAAAAACGATCGCTGAAAAAAAGAGAAGCTGCGCACGCGCCATCCTCTACCCTCGCACAATAATGAACTTGAGGCGCTATTAAGACGTATTCGATGCGTCAATCTAGGCAATGTGTCTTAAAACAAATTTCAACGAAAAAAAAAATAGAAAAGTTCAACGAAATAAAAATGAGACGTTTTGATAACAATATCATGAAATGTGCGCAATATGAAGTTTCCAACACGCAACAACTCGCACGCTTGTGCTGGCTATAACGACAATGTGTTTTCTATCACATCTATTTTTATATCATTATTGGCTCAGATGTTGCCTAAAAAAATGTCCTGGATTCGCATCTTATGAGTTGGGAAAGATAAAATTGGGATATTTTTTTACAATTAGATTCAATTCTGGAATGAACAACAGGCAGTTCAAATGTTCATAGGCTTGGAAAGAATATAATTAAAGCTATTTTATGCAGGAGTCATATGAAACACTTTTCACTAGCTTGAGTTAATCATTGGAGTATTTAAAATTGAGTGAAGCGTTAAAAAGAAGTACTATAGGAACTGAATATAACATGGAATAAGTCTCGTTCGTTGATAACAAGAGATGCACCGAAAGTCAGCACATCGGAGGAATAATCACCTCAAAATCTTGCCTTACAAGTGTCAGCCAGACAGAAGCTGTTCTACTAATGTGCTACTGCAAAGCATGACAACAGAAGAATTAATCCTCATAGAGTTGCAAAATAAATCAAAATTCCAGTTAAATATAATAATATATGAAAATGGCAATGAAGAATACTCGTCATTATTTTAGACGAGGAAGTTCACTCGGTTGCTGATGTATTCTGGAACTATAAACATGATATTATCCCCATTTGCGCCAGTCGAGGGTACAAAGTGCAGCGACTGCCCGCGGGTATCCGTACCATATACTCCATAATAGTCTCGTTTTTAGCCTGATGTTCGTGCAGGGTTGCTATTCTTTGTAGTCTGGCGATATTAAACTAGGCTCCCGTTTATCTAAATACGTAAGCTCTAATGAGATTAACGCGTATGAAAATACCGGCCACACGCATGAGCCGCGTACATGAACGTGCAGGCAAGTGAACGGATATGAACATGAACACGAACATATACCAGAGACATGAACGTCGTATACCAGTGACATCTCATATCAAAACATAGCAGGGAAATAGTGCATGTTTCACGGTGAAAAATGATGCTTTCCAGTCTACAACAAACAGGAAAAAATTAACATCTGTACTTTATAGGTAACCGAAAATGGCACATTTTACGGAGTTTGGCGACGGCTATCGCAAGGTGAACGTTGCAGAGAATAACCTATGTACAATTATATGGAGAGATTCCGACAAAAATATCAGAAAAATAGGTTTTATCTTATTGCAAGTTACCCCAGTAGCTGGGCTAAACGGATCAGTTCCAGAGTTCTATAGAGGGCAAAATTGTACAGCTACGGACATCAACACTCGTGGTGGAAATATTTAAACACCTACGCTAGAATACAACAATAATAAAGGGACGTAGAAACACGGCGCTTCTACCATGAACACAAAAAGGCATGCGCGGGTCAAATCGACTTCAGTTGCAGGCTCGAAGTTTCTGGTGATGGTATGCATAGTGGGAAGTGAGTAAATGTTCGTCCATTGTTACATGCAAGGTTGATGGTTATATGCAACGTCCATGGTTACATGTAACGTAGATTGTTATATGCAACGTCCATGGTTACATGTAACGTAGATTGTTATATGCAACGTCCATGGTTACATGTAACGTAGATTGTTATATGTAACGTCCATGGATAGCTGGAACGTCCATGAATACATGTAATGTCCATTGTTACATGTAACGACCGTGGCCCCACTCAATGGGGAGCGTAAGTTTAAAGGAACACGTTTTATTGCTAGAAATATAAAGTAGACGAGAAACTGATTTATAATTTAGTACACGATGGACCTTATGTACAGATTAAAAATAAAGAAATAAATGGAGTGAAGAGATAAATATAAACATAGAGAAAATCTTACAATGTGAGTTTCCGTAAATTTTAGCCCAGAGGCATAGGTTAAATTTTATTTTTAGGCCATAACATCGTAAATAGGTCTGAGTAATATGCACTATGCGAAAAGATGTTTCAGAAAAGATATAGGCAAACTTGATTTATTTCTGATAGGAAAAAGACAGCGAGTCATATAAAAAAAAGCGAAATCCAGCGTTCCGAGATCTAACACTAGGATCTGAACTACAGTGAAATGCCTCGAGTTAGCACCACGTGTCATCGGATATAATTTGTTTCAGCTTTTCTATTAAAAAATTTTTTTTTTTTTTGAAGGAAAGTGAAAAGAATGACAATTACCGAGAAAACCCGCGAATTGAGAAGCGTTACATCAAAATATCCTCTGTTGAAATAACAGCTAAAAAATTGAGTCTACCAACCTTCTTGAAATCAGCTCGTAAACTTAAGTGTCAAGAATGCCAACTAAAATGAATTACACGACTTAACACTTATCACAACAATAACAATAATGCATTTCAGAGCTGGGCGAACGAGTACTGACTGTCAAAAAGAATGAAACTAATTCACAAATACATAACTATAAATGTACATGATAGTCAAGCCTTAAGAACGCTAATAGAACGAAATAAAGACGGATAGGTTCAAGCTTATGTCAAATGAGATAAGCATATGGAAATAAATAAGTCAAGTCCAACGCATGACTGCAAGCAAATACATTAATAAAATTAAAGTTAACGAAGCACCAAACACACGATATTAATCACGCATTTCACAATATTTTACAATTAAATAACTCCACTAAAGCAATGTAAAGCAAAATCCACAACCGACGACTAACTACATAAAAACAACAACCAAAACCAGCCGAAAAAATTGTGCGCCCAGGGCCACATGTTTTCAGACCTCTAGTGTTCATCGTAAGTTTTTTGGTTAAGACCAAAGCTTTACGTCAACGATAAGCAAATATTTCGTGACTAACGTACGACGATCTTTAGATTGATATCCGGCATCGCAATCATTCGTATGGTTAATAGAACTAAGAGAACTGGGAAAAAGGATTCCCAAGTATTTTAGATCTCTAATATAGTTGAAGCCAGCCTATTGCAAAGGTATTTTATAAAATATAAGCCTGCCATGAATATTGCAAAATAATAGCACTATTGCATCGTATCGCTTTGTAAAAACATTCGCATGAAACAAAAATTAGCCGGAAGCTATACACATCCGAATTTTTACCGATTAGCATTAGGTCAATATTATTTTCTTTCAATTTTTCTTCGGAAAAATGAAACGTTGTAGCGCTACCAAAGTTGTGATGAAATTTGGTTTGTACAGCAATAATTGTGGAAAGATGGTGACTGTTAATAAATAAAATGACGGCAATTTTTGGATAACATGATTAAAAACTCAAAATTCACTACCAGCATCATCGAGACACCAGCCCAGCCACTCAACAGCCCTGACCGCGATGATAGCTAGCATCCTGCTGCTTGAAAGATCTAACACGGTTCATATTAACACGCATAAATAATATTATTGATATACTATAAGACCAAGGCATGGACAGCTGACGAAAAACTATTTTCATTTGATCTGACAAATAAATTACCGAATTGGCATGTTATCTTTGATAAAATAGATAGCTGTATTATTAAGTTTTCAGTCATAAACGCTAAAAAGAGTTTAACTCCTAGTTGAATATTATTAAAAACATTTTTTTGGCTTCGTTCAGATTACGATTAAGTTTGCCGCGTTGAAGAAACTTGTCATTCGAATCTCCGTGCCTGGTATCGATGGCACACTCAAAAGTTCTAGACTTATACACCAGTGCTACAAAAAAAATATATAATGCCGATGGATGAAAAACACAAACATTCAGTTTTAAAGTCTTGATCAGACCCCAAGGAGTTTTGATCGTTATGAATAGGATTAACAAGATACGCATTCGCGCGACTCATAACGCACTAAGCGTAGATAGCCACCGTCCAGAGCCTGTCATGACAACACGGTAGAGTTACACTGTATACACTCTTCTGCTGTGGTAATAAAGTAGTTAATAACCTCCAATAAAACCCAGTACGAATAGAAAAAACATTCGGAAAAAACATTCTAAAATAAAAAAAAATCTGAAATAAAAAAATCTTCGAAAGTAAAAACACAATGTGATAAAGTTCAAAGTTATTTGAATAGTAGTTTAATGCCTTTACGCCATTCTTTTCTGCCACTTGCTAATGTAAGACCCCTTTAATGCGATCCCTCTTCTCCATAAAATTAACATCTTAACAACAGAACTCAACTATCGATCAGTGGCGCGAGTTTGAAGCGTATCATAAAATTATTGAAAAATGGCACATAATTTGCAGATTCAACATACCTCGCCATAACTGACCGAGGCAAACATAGCGACCGAGTACGACAGTTAAGCTAAAAAACATCCGTTTTCAAAAGGTTTATACAAGCAAATCAACCGTTGATAATACCCTAACATGCTACTGATTGACGCACCATTCGTAGATAAAAGACCTCAATTCCCGAAAATTATATGTACAGATTTATTTTATAAAGATTAAGATCCATATTGCACACCTCAGGCACCACATTTCTGATTTGGTTTTGCACCAGATATTGCAAGATCATAACGGGAGTTGCTCACCGTAAACACTGGCTCAGTAAATTTCTAATTAATTAGAATTTTAGCTTTATAATTTTGTACTGATTTTAAGAAATGGTACGACCAATACATAGCGGTTATATCATGACCATTGAAATTTGGGGATTAGTGCCCAGGTGACAAGCACTTCAGTCGAGTACACGTAAAACAAAAATTAATTTTTAGATTCAATAGGTACATTGGATTAGTCAAATGAAATATCTGCAGGAATGTAAAATAAAACATTCCGTCTTAAAAAACTTGGATAATAGTAACGATAAACGATCTTTTAGAATTTTCGTTATTCTACAAATTTCTTTTGAGTAAATTTCATGAGAGATAGGTACGTTTTTTTCAGCCATATTAGAATTGGTGGCAGTAGAATTTGCGATCACAGACTTTTCAAAGAATGAAGCCGCATCGTTTCTTAGGACTATCACAATTTTTCCGTCGTGCAAGGATATTTCTACCAAGTTTAACACGACTAACTATGACTATTAATGATCCGCACGTTCATTTTCCGGAGGGAAGCACATTGATGCTATAAACCAAGCCAAGATAGCACCCAAGTTATTACTCTTGAACGAGGCAAATTTCAAGGAGAGAAAATTCTGTAAGAAAAAACATTCTGAATATGAGTGAGATAATCACACATGAAAATGACTGAGTGTCATGCCAGCCTTTTCAATGAGCAAGCAATTTTCATGAGTGTTGATATTGAATATGTTGAAGATAAGCTCAGGAATATAATTAAACTTACAAAGAATCGAATTTCTAGCGGCACATGGTAAAAGTTTGAACAAGTGTTGATGAGTTATGAGACAGACATAATATAGGCATCACTAGCCTTATCTAGCTCACGAAATCTGTTGCTTCTCCTCTTCAGCGATATACTGAGAAATTGTGTACGTTGTGATGATCGAGTCCAGAACTTCTCCCTCAGGTAGCGGTTCGCCTTCTTCGTCGTCACAGAGAAGCTCCTCGGAAATTTGAGTTGCGTCGGCATTACTTGCTGGGTTTCCAGGCGACAAGCAACATGAATCATTATTTTCCAAGGGAGAGGACTTATCGTCAGCTGTCACGACATCTTTTAGAGATTCTGCACCACCATCACAATGTGTTGAATTTGAATGAAAGTTACTTTCAAAGGCTGTATTTGAAAGCGAGTCGCTAACGCTATTTTGTTTTGGCACCAATTGCTCATCCGAAACTTTATTATCTTCCAAAATAGCCGAGTCGTTATCGAATTCTTGCTGGCGAGAAGCAGGCGGCGAGTTAATTCCTGGAGCGGATTGGTTCAGGAACTGCACAGACAACTCGAGGGCTGAGTCCACAGAGTTTTCTTTGAAAGACATAGTAGAGTCCGAATTTCCTTGCACGATTTCAAGTTGACTTTTTTCAAGTGCACCAATTTTGTCCAGCACATTATTGTGAAATGCATGTTCACCAGTGGACTCGTTATTTTCCGCAATATTTTGTTTGGGTATTAGGGGAAAATGTTCACTCTTAGTACTACAAAGCTCTGGGGCAGGATTAGATACGTCAATCCTATTGCATTTTACGGCACTCACTTCCTCCGGCTCACAACCTTGACACTCAACAGTCTTCTGGGAAATTACTTGCGTGTTTTCCTCACTTCCAGACATATCATTATTAAAGCCAGTCTTCCCTGTACTGGGGCTGGAACTATCGATGAGATCAGTTTCCATTTCAGTTTTTAATTGTACAGTTGAATCGGAAGACTCAATAGATTCACGTGGTGGTGCAGATTTTCCAGCACTTTTAATTTCTTTGCGTTCTTTTGCATTCATTATCTTCTTCTTTTTAAGGTAAAGTTTGTATGTTTTTAGCCCGTGGCAGAAAAGATGCGTTTCTAAAAGAACTTCATTAGGGAATTGTGCCCCGCACGTTTCGCACGCATTCCCAGTCTCTTCATGCGCGGCCAAGTGCAGTTGTATGTGAGGCGCAAGTTTCACTTTAGATATGAAGCAGCTGTTACAGTGCGGGCACTGCACACGAGACACAGGTTGCTTCACTTTATTAAGCTCTTCTCGCTCTCTCTGGCGGCGGCCGCTATACCAGCGCACGATGCTGCTCACAGGCAGAGATGAGTGGCGCGATATCAAGCGCAGCTCAGGGCCACGAGGCAGGTTGTTGCTCTCGTAGTGCGTCTCCAAAATCTGAGACCAAATTAGTCGGATAAGAATTTAACATAGAAAATTCAGGGAGTGTAACGAAAAGCTAAAAATAAATCAACTTATTATTGTGTAACACAATACCTGAATAGTAGTAGGAAATAAGGAAAAATTGAATTGTGCTAATAGTAAAGTCCAGTAAAATTACATGGAGCTGGTCTAATCCCTCTGAACCTGCACGAACAATTCGCAATAAAACCCTATGAACTCACCTTCAACTGCTTTCCGCTCAGGGAAGGTGCTTCTAACGGAGGACTGCCTTCACACACAACATTATTCTCAATTTTAGTTGGCGCACATCCTGCTCTTTCTGGAGGTAATTTAAGCGAGAGTTTCAACTCTCCCTTACTGCCACTACAGGAAGGTTGGCCTCGCAGTAGATCGGTCGGTAGTACTCGGTTACCAGCTGCCGATCGTTCGTTGGGGGCTGAAGCATCAACAGATTTGACGCCGTTGAGGCCTTTAGGCAAAGAACGTTCGTTTGAAGCAAAAACTGTTCGAAATTTAGGGGTTGTTGGTGAAGAGTACGTGACGTTAGCTTCATTAGATGATTTTAAACCAGTTATTTGCGCGTCACTAGAATTTATATCATCGTTGTCTAAGGGTCGCTTGCCAGATCCGGTATTTCCAACTGCACTTAACTTGCTAATGATTAGGCAGCCAGAGGAGGATCGCCGGCAGACAAGTTTTTCATTACTGTTTGCCTTGTAATTTAATTTACTGCCTTCAGAATTATGTCTAAACGAAGACGTTTTTTTATTAGTCGTCCTAGAAGTCACACTATCCAATGATTTCCGGACGCGAAGATTTCCGGATTTCTGACAATTGTTTGCCTGAATTTTTTCGAATTCATTCGTCAAAAGTACGTTTTCATCGGCGATTTTCTCCGTTTCTGAGGCTTTTTTACTTGATTTTGTGAGCTTAGAGTCACAGTCCTGACTTGAATTTGCTTGAGTTCTTGGCTGATGGCCAGACTCGCGTGGTTTTGATGGACATTTGGGGGGAGGAGACCTGACCGCCAGGAGGTCAGTGGTGGACATGGCCGCTTCACCGCACGCAGACACTGCGTGCTCTGCTGCGTGGCTGCCGTACACGCACTCGTGACGAAACACTGCGTGGCAGACATCGCATGTCTGCAAGAAATGTTTCTTAATATTTTCTTTTGCATGCTTTAAAGTTGATTTATATTTATAAACGAAATAAAATTAGGAAATTTTTCCCGAAATTGATGAATATTTCATTTCATATATTATTGTAACAGTTGTATAAGGTGATACTACGATAAATTTTGTACAGTGAAAACATGAACTTTATCCTAATATCGACAGTAAAATTGCATAATTTCTAATCTAAACAAATTCTTATTACACTCACAAAAGCAGCGGGGTCAGAGTGTAGTCTGATGTGCTGCTGCAAGTCGCGTTTGGTAACGAAGGCGGCGCTGCACATGGGGCAGGTCTGCTCGGTCTCGCTGTCGCTGCCCACGAACACCGCCCCCCCGCTCAGGGTGGGGGACCAGCAGCAGCTGATACTCGTGCCTCCCACCAGTTCCTTAGATACGGTCAGCTGGCGCTGCGACTGATAGAATGATAACAGGATACATGAAATATACACGAGATAGAATTCATACACGAGATAGAATTCACAAGATTCAACTTACCAGAATAAAAGATACACGAATTCAGGACTTCAGAGACAATGCATGGAAACAAGGGACGAAAGCACTGATATAAGGTACCATCTCAAGAGGCATTTTTAGCACATTTTCTCATTTATGAAAAAGGCGCTATTGTGCTCGCCATGTCCGTCCGTGACTTCACGTTTTCGTCGACGAGAAAATGCGCTCACTGTCACTGCACTCAGTACTGAGTTATATTTTTTACATGTATCTCCACTTAATAAAGACATATTATAAGCTCGAAGTATTTGAGAGTGTTAAGCAGCATCTCAAAAACCCGAGATTAAAAATTAAGCTAGCTGAGAATTTAAATGTATCCTATACTGTGCTTACATAATCCTATCAAACGCTTAATTCAATCGCAAACGACATCTATGCTAGTCACATACTATTCACTACGATAGGTGATAGCTAGTTATTAGAATCTCATGGCGTCTCATCATATTTAGTACAGCAAGAGGAAGCTTTATCTTTGCGGTCCATACCTTAGACCTACCCCGCTACATATACATTATAAGGCTGCTTTTCTGTAATTAGCTGCCTATAAATACAAATAATTTGTACTGAATCGCGGGGCAACACGAGCATAAATAAATCAATTGTGCCAATATTATAATGCCTACAACCTACAGTAGAAGACACAACTCCATTTCTGTAGGGCGAAGGGAAGAGAACTTACGTCACTAAAACATTGTTATACAATCTGGTCATCAATGACACTGTGTAGGTTACAGTAAAGCTCACTTTGTACCAAGCAGAGAGAGACTGTACATCAAGTCCAAACTCGCGACTCAAGGCGAGAAGTTCCTGTGGACTTGGGAAGTTGTTTTCTTGGAAATGGAAGTTCAGCTGAGCCAGGGACTCGGACGCGAGGTTGCACACGCTCGCCGCACTGCTCATGGGTGACGCTGGTCCAGCTGGCATTGACGAGTCTGGCGACGTCTGCACGCAAAATAATAGCCAAATAAATATATTATTGTCTTCCGTACCGATAAAATGCCAAAAATTGTTAGTAAAAAGCCAAATAAATATTTGAAATCTCTTTTGTAGCGATAAAATGCAAAAAAAAATATCAGTAAATAATACAGAAAGTAAACAGATGGAAGCAAGATCCATAGGAAATTGGCATGAGCATTAAAATGTAAGCCAATTGAAATATTTTAATTTGGGGCTCTTACTAGGCTTCCAAACGACCATCTTGGACTTGTTTTCGCTTTGACACCGCAACCATGAGAGAATTTGGATTCTATATTGAGATGAAGTTTGTTAATGATATGCACAGCTGGGTCTTCGTTGCCGGCGGACGAAGTCACTTCGTTATTATTCGGCGCAGTGGCCCCAACTTCAGAAGCAGTACTCGTTGGAGACTTAACAACTGGGAAGCCCTTGCCGACAGGGTAAGTTGATGTCATGTTTGTTGCAGGATTCGATCCCGGCAGAGACAGACCCTCTAGACCAGGCAGGGACAACCGTGTGCCCAACAGTTTTGGCTTCAACGACAAAAACGAAGGAAGCGGAGGAGACGACATGGGCGACGTGTACGGAGAACATGACGACGAACTCAAGCCAGGTATTTTGAGCGCCAGACTCGAGTTGAAGCCCTCCATGTGAAGCTTCTTCGGCTGTAATGTTATGAAAGAGAGGCTGAAATGACCGATGTGAACGAGATGGTAGTGATAAACTATCACGTGAACTGAAAACGCGGTGCAGAAAGGTAACACAGCAGGATTATGTTATTGTAAAATGACTGAAAGAGTAAGAAATATAAAAGAATAAAATAATTCATAAAATGACAGCTTGACAAGAACTACATTACTCTAGAGCATTCTGGCTTACTAACACAGTAGAGTTCTTCATTTAAAATTGATTTACGACTTTTTGAATCTTGAACAACATTCGAAATCAATTTATGTTAAACCATTTTAATCGTATAATCAAGCAATTCTGGCTATTTGGCGCTGCTTAAAATATCTCACATAAAAAATATAATGCTTGAAATAAATGCGGAAAAGCTCTTTCAACTCACCAAGATTCGTCTCGTTTTCTTGACAGTCGTTGATTCCATTTCAGATAAACACTTGCGGAACCCGGCGTCTTTCTTATCGTGCAGAAGCTCATGTGTCTGCAAGAGCACGGCGCTAGGGAACGACATCATACACGACTTGACAGGACACACGAACTGCACGGCAACAGACGAAGGGTCGTGACTTTCTGCTTTATGGCTAGCGAGTCCTTCGTCGTGGACAAACGTTGCCTTACAATCAGAACACTGACGTGAAACACGGCGACTGTACGGTAGAGATTTACGTTCCTTGCTTCTGCGGTTCTGGAACCAATGCATGATTTGTCGGTGCGTGATGTTAAGTCTTTTAGCAAGCAGTTTAAGTTCACGAGTTGGAGGGAAGTGGTTGTGCTGGAAATGAGCCAACAAAATAAGCTGCTCGTCTTGCGTGTACTCACGACGGTTACGGTATTTTTTATTCTCCTGCTGCTCTTCTGGTCTACCGTCCTCGAGCGATGGGCCCCGGCCGTCCAAGAGGTCCGGTAGCGCGCCATCGTCATTTTGCAACAAGACAGAATCACATTCTCGCTCATTTTCAGTAAGCATCTCTTCTTCTCTCAACTTCATTATTTGTTGAATTGTTCCAACTACATATTTTTTCAAGTCTGCATTGCAGTTCAAACTGTCAAGGTTGAGGCTTCGTAAAAGTTGCAAGTTAACTTTCACATTTCCAGGATTCAAAGCGGAGGCCGCCATTTCAGAGCGTATTTTGGCCGCAAGGTCTTTTGAATCCTCATTTTCGCTGTCGTGGCTCTCGTTTCCCTCCTTGAGGTCAATAACTAGCTCGTCATCGCTGCCTGTGCCATCAGAGTCCCGATTGCACGGGCCGAGGTTCATTTCTTCATGTGGTTCGTCTTCTGAGTTTCCATAGTCATTTGCTTCGTTAGCTTTGGATAAATGCAAGCCTTGACTGAGGAGGTTGAAAAGTTTCGAGTTTTCTTCAGAGAATGAATCTGAAAAAAAGTAAGGAAAATTCTCTAGCTGCACTAGTCTTAGCAAAGGTCAAAACAATCAATGCTAATTAAGTGGTTTTACATTAGAAACAAAGCACTAAACGGAAGGAATAATAGCCAATCATAAAATATTTTTTTCACGTATAAGAAGAGTCATAATTATTAAATATAATCATCACAAAATCCATTGCATTCCGAAGAAACATCCAAGCAACTTTTTTGTTCAACATGGCCAATTTCTTCATTATTCATTATGCTAAGTAGAAAGCATAATTGTCATTAGGGTGCTGATCAAATGAGCGACAAACCTATGGCCGAACTAAAAGAATGTCGAGGAAAATACAACCAAGCAAAAGAATGCGCGCCACTTTCTTAAAGAGACTTGTACTCTTGTTCCCTAAGTTCACTTCCGAGCTGGACTCGTTAACAGGCTCAGATCCTGTTCTCCCCAACCCAAAATGTCAGCCTTATATCTCATGTGCGCATCAAACCTCATTGTATATTTTTGTCTTATATTTTGAAATGGACTACACTAAAGAAATAGTGCTAAGTCCAAGTGCTCCAAAAACCAAACTTGTTGAATGGGTGTTATGACAGGTCAGCTGAACCTTCCCTCCCACGAGTATTACTTTTGTTATAAGTTTCTGCACATACGTCGCTGTTGTCCGTGCCCATAACGTATAATTGAAACCTACAATATCGCAATAATACCTATCGTATTATTGATTGCCTGTTGTCGTCATATTGCCTTTCGACACTAGAATGTTTAATTAGAGTATCTGATAGCAAAGCTTATTGTATTGAACATTTCGTTTTATTCCGCATCACTCACTCAAGTTGTTCTGTTGAGTCAGTACTTTGGTTCAGTGGTCATAATTGCTAACGCTTCAGGACGAGCGAGTTGTGTTAAATAATTGCATTAGCAAGCAAATAATGAGAAATAATAGCGAGTAAACTCACCGTGATGACTCGACGTGAGCTGAGAACAGTCCACGACCCGAACGCCTCCCGGAGACCCGAGGCTTGACAGCGGTGACACTAGATGTGCGCCATCATTTGATACATGTTCATTCCTTCCTGAATTTGATTTCGAATCAGGGCATTCTGTCCCTGGAGATTCAACATTCAAATTTGACTTTGAATCCATTGAACTAGCAAAGCCCGGCTCAATCTTAACGAGCGATGGGAACGCAGCATTTTCTGTTTGCGTGGTCGAAGAGTCTGCGGAAGTCCGGATTCCAGAAACGCGGGGCAATGTTCCAGTAATGTAAGATTTTAGAATGGAATCGGCACGAGACTGGACGATATGAGTATTTTCCTCTCTGGTATTCGTCATTCCATGAATTTGTTCGCGGATATTCCGAGCAGCTGTTTGGTACTCGCAAATCGGAATAAGATCAGGTAGTTTTTTCTTGGTTTTTGGCGTCACTGTAGAGGTTAACGTCTGAGGTTCATCTATACTTGATGCGTCTCTTGCGTTGAATAAATTATCGGAGCTGCTATCACTGTTGGGGTTGTGCACTGCAGGCACGAGCTGGACCGGGAGAAGCTGAATGATGCTCCTGCCCTCTGCATCAGTGGTGCGGATGGCAAGAGGTGTTCCAGCTTGTGTGGAGGTAACTTGAGACGTGCTTATCTGGATAGGGAGTTGGATTGAAGAGCTGCTCGAATTACAAATGAATTTAGTATCCACACATTGCGGATTTCCCGCGAGCAGCCCTCCCAAAATAGGCTTCCTCAAAACCTCTTCGGAGTCCATCATTTTCTCAGCATCAATTCCATTTGACTTAGAATTATCATTTGTATACAAGGTCGTTAGGTCAGGGCCAGATAGCGAGGATGCCACATTTGGGGTCGCAATAATGCTTTTCTTTTGGCACTCCTGAGTCTGGCTTCTGTACCTGTTGACAGAGGAAATAGCTGGGGCTGGAATTCCATGGCTCATTGTGTGTGACCTGAGCAAAATTTCTTCAGGAAAGCGACTGCGACACATGCTGCACTCGTAGTTCCACTCAAGCTTGTAATGAGTCTGCATGTGAGCCTCTAAGCAAATGGCGTTCACAAAACTCGAGTCGCAAATGGAACATGAAGCAACGCTTCCATATCTGCTGATGAGGTGATCTTTCTTGTGGATGAAAAGAGCCTCAGGATCCTCGAAAGATTTCTGACACAAGTAGCAGGTTAAATTCTCACTCTCCTCCTTCTCATCGAGAGGCTTCACCTCTTCGAGCATCATGTCGACCTGGTGAACTGAACGTAAATGTTCATTGTAGGCGTCTGTTTCGAATCTCAATGAACAAATTGGACAAGTTCTCGTCTTCGTCTGTGACTGATCGTGGAGTGAATGCCTGGCGCTGTGCTTCACCAGGAAGGTGGCCATCGCAAAGGACATGTCGCAGTCCATGCACTTGTAGGGCTTGTCGGCAAAGCTTTCTGGAGGCAAAATGGTAGACATTAGGAGGAATATTCGACACTAAAGATCATTAACCGAGCTTTAGAGCAATAATACGTTCAAGGAAGAGGATAAATAAGAAGATTTCACATAGCGAATCATTGATATTTTTTGCAGGAAGGATCTCTTATGGGAATGGATAAATATTGCACAAAATGCTTCAAAAGAATGAAAAATAATGGTAAACAAATTTCAAATTTCACGTTGGGTCAGGGGGAGATGAAGCTACACTGTATAAAACCAACTCACTATTTCCTTCCATAATGAAGCTGGCCCTCTTGCGCTGTCTCGAACGTTCGTTCTGGAACCAGATTTTGATGACAGCTGCGTCAAGTCCGATGAGCTTAGCCAGTATGCGGAACATGGCAGGCTCCGGGAAGTTGCAGTGCGTGAAGTGCTGGTAGAGGATGCGGTGCTGTGTCTCTGAGAACACCGTCGTCCGGCGCCGCTGAGGTCTGCCACCAGACGTCGTAGTCGTCGTCGTGGCTGAGCAACTGCTGCCGTTCGCTTTGCCTGGGCATAATAATCGATTAAGAATTGAAATAATGAATATTATAAGCAATATTTTCGAACTAATTTCGAACTACAAACGAATTTTTTAACTTAAAGTTTAGCGTAGTAAGTTTTTTATGTAATGTTTTGACAATCCAGTATTTGTATTATTGTTATTGTATTATTCCATTACGAAAGCGAAGATCCTATAGAATATCACTCAAATCAGTATTGAATATGAAAATTAAGGAGAGAACCTTAGAAAAATAAACATACGTATGTATAAAACAAGAAACAATAACTATATATATGAGTAGATAATTCATCTAAGAATGGTTATAATTAATAATACTAACCGGCCTGCGCATCGAAATCCAAGCCGTCTCTACTGCCATCTCGCTGACAATTCTGATCGTGCACGGAGTTGTTATTTTTGTTGATCAATTGACTGAGCAAAGCTGAGAAAATTTTTTCTTTGAATGCACCAGAGGAGATATGAGTGCCAGCATCAGTGCTAGGAGGCTCGAGTCCTGCAGGATTATTTTCTGTTTCAGGTGTTGTGTGCGCGGCGTTCAGGAGGATATTTGCGCTTAGGAGGGACTTTATGAGCGCGTTAGCTGGCAAGCCTCCTACAGCTCCTGCTAGGAACGGTAACAGAGCTAAAGAGTTACTCGTGTCGGCATCACTGTTATCTGATTCAGTAGTTGCCGGACCCTCATTAGTGCTTTGGTTAGCTAAGATTTTAAGCAAATTTTGATGGAAGCTGAGCATTAATTGCTGCCTTGGAGCGTGTACCGAAATTTCTGGACCTGTGTCTGAGGACAAGTTCATGCCGGAAGACTCTTCGTCTTCTTGTGATGTTGCTCGGCTGGACAAGTCTATGGGTTGGGAACTTGAGGCAGGCTCAATTTTTGGTTTGCATTTGATGGGATAAATTGTAAGATTCCCAAATTTGAGTTGGTTAGATTCGTCATTGTCTAAAATCATTTCATTTTTGATACCCAAAGAAGGTTCTTGTTGTCGACGAATCGTCAGATCAGGGCTGCTGGAGATTATTTCTCCCGTGTTGTTGCCGCTGACACCAGCATAATATTTCGAAAGTTTGTGCAAAACTTGATTTTGTTCGTGCTTTTGGTGTTGCTTGATTTGATTTAGTAACGCTTGTTGCAACAGTTGATTCCTAACAGCAGGGATGATTTGTTCCGTTGACGGTTTATGAGAGCCTTCGGCAGCTGTTTCCCCGTCGTCCTCGCAGAATTCTCTTTGATCACCCGAAAGTAATTCTGCCTTCTCGTCGTCCAAATCCACTTCTTCGGTAGAATCATGTTCCGTATCGCCATTGAGTTCGTGTTGATAAGAGCCCGACATCTCCCTGGAATGTTGGGCGTTGACTTTGCTCATTTGATGAAGAGCAGCAATCAACGGCAAAGAACGAGCGAACATCGGTACTGAGTCAGCATCTAACGCGGTCGCTGCTGAAATCGGAAGCATGGTTACCCTGGCTTGGATTTTTGCACCTTTCACTACAGTCGAGTTGTCGCAAAGGTCGCCAGCTTTCTCGTCCAATGAATCCTGTTGCTGGTCAGCAGTACCAGAAGATTCACCAGTTGGAGTCGAATTAATGGAATTCGACTGCACTTCTAAAGTGTCGGCCAACGACCGATTGTTTTCCAAGTGGTCTTGCAAGGGTCTAGGTTTGTGCAAGTCTATTGGTTGACTTAATGTAGCCTCGGTTCCGGAACTGGATGCATGCACAAGACACTGCTCAGCCAAAATTTTGAGGCCCTCGATGTCTTCACTTGGTCTATGAGCCATAAATTCGGGAGCATCTGGGAACCGGTCGCTTGATTCAAAACTCACAGGAGAACCGAAGCCAGTATAAGCGGGCACTGGGACTACACTGGGGTTCGGTATCGAAGCATCAGCGGATAATTCAGTGTTTTTATCGGTTGCGGATTGCCCATCGCCAACATACGATAAAAATTTCAAAGCCGGTAATTTAGGAATATTCAAAACAGTCGTCATAAGGGATCTTGAAGAACTTTTACTGTCGGCTTGCATGTCCAGCTTAGGTACGTGAGTATGCAGATGTGGAACTCCAGAGGAAGGTTCCTGAGGGCCATCACATAAATCAACCACTTCGACTTCAGATCCGTCCTCTGCATCAGCCGAGAGATTCCCAGTGTCGATGTCAGCCGCGTCAGCAAAAGCTTGACTCGATACACGATTCAGTTTCATTTTAAGCTCAGATCTTAGTTTTTTGGCGTCAGAGGAACCCCCACACCTTCCATCGACTTGCTTATCCTGCTCTCGACACTTGGCACGGGAATGAGTGGTGAGGAGGTCGGAGTGGGTGAAGGCAGCGTTGCAGTCACTGCAGTTATAGGTCTTTATTTGGTGGTATTCTTTGTGGCGCTTCAGGAACGGCAAGGCAATAAAGGCGGCCGGGCATAGGTCGCAATAGAAGCAGCTGTTCGCATCCGATGCGTTCTTGTACTTTGTACGAGGAGATCCCGCTGTAATAAAAAATTATATTTTACTCGATGCATTTTTCAACACCGTAGGTAACCAAATCTTTTCGGAACATGTGGCATATAAGTGCCGTATGTTTTGGCTCATTTTCACTGAAGAGGCTAAAACATAATATTCTGGAGTTCAGCACATTTTTACATTATATAATTGCAGTAGAGACTATTTTCTAACGCAATGTTTGATCCATAGAATAGCAGAAAAGGGGTAACGACAAAATAGCGCAGTTCTCACAGGGGTATAGTTATTGACTTCGTTCATACAGGCAGTTTATTACGTTAAACGTTCGCCCCACCTACTTAGATGAAGCTAAACCCACCTACTTAGATGAGTTGGACCCACCTACTTAAATGAAGCTAGACCCACCTACTTAGATGAGTTCGACCCACCTACTTAGTTGAAGGTAGACCCACCTACTTAGATGAGTTCGACCAACCTACTTAGATGAGTTCTTAGACCCACCTACTTAGATGAGTTCAACCCACCTACTTAGGTGAAGATCGAGCCAGTTTACCAACAAGAATTTATACCACTAGTTGATCACTAATATTTTATTAGATGATATGTTACTGTTACGCTTGATAGATTTTAGTATTTAGATCTCTAAAAAGTCTTCGCAACTAGCAAAGTCTTTATGTGCTTACGATGCACAAAGTTAAGCAAGGCTCCTGATACAACCAATATACACAGGGTGATTCACGGAAACTTCCTGATTCGAAAGCTCAATAAAAAAGAACTAGTAAAGATATCATTATGATATAAATATTATTTGTAAATACATTACCTGAATTTTTGTATGGCTTTGTTTTAAAGCTGACATCGGACAAATGACGGCCCACATTGGCAATGCATTCACTTAGTCAATTTTTTAAGTTCCGTTCATCTCGCTGAAGAATATTGACGGATATGTTGTTCTTCAAATGAGGTAGGGTCCTTGGCCAGTCATTGTAAAGTGTAAACAATTGATTCAAGATAACCCTATAAAAACTCACACTTTAGCCAAATCAGGGGATCGGGGGCGGCCAAAGAAGGTTACCTCTCAAGGAGATGAGGTCAATATACGCGTCAATATGCTTCAGTGAGTTGAACTGAACTTCAAAAATCGACTAACTGAATGCATTGACAATGCGGGCCGTCATTTGTACAATGACATCTGTAAAACTAAGTGATACAAAAATTCAGGTAATTATTTTTTCTATATAATAATATATTTACAATTTATCTTCTTTGAGTTTTCAAATCAGGAAGTTTCCGTTTCAAGTCTATTGTAATCACAGTAGTTGATACCTTTCGCACGTTTTTATTAATCGTCTCCAATGTCATTCTTATTTGTCGACCTGGTAAATAAAGTTACCATTACTACACAAAATGTTGAATAATATAATAGTGGATGAAGCCTTGCCTTAACTGAAGTTACCGTCACTACACAAAGAGTTCAATAATATAATAGTGAATGAAGCCTTGCCTTAACTGAAGTTACCGTCACTGCACAAAGAGTTCAATAATATAATAGTGAATGAAGCCTTGCCTTAACTGAAGTTACCGTCACTGCACAAAGAGTTCAATAATATAATAGTTGGATCACTACACAAAAAGTTCAACAAAATAATATGATATATAAAGCCTTGCCTTGGCACGCACCAGCCCTAGGGGCGTCAGGTCCTAGCCTCTTCCTGACGGCGGCGCGCTTGTTCTGGAACCACATCTTGATGCTGCGGTAGGGCGCCCCCAGCTGCAGCGAGATGCTGCGCTGCTCTGAGGGCTCGGGGAAGTTGTTGTGCTCGAACGTTGTCTGTAATGGACAGTTGTCTGCAATGGACAGTTGTCTGCAGTGGACAGTTGTCTGCAATGGACAGTTGTCTGCAATGGACAGTTGTCTGCAGTGGACAGTTGTCTGCAATTGACAGTTATCTGCAATGGACAGTTTTGTGACGCGATATCCGGGCACTTAGCGTATTTATTCGGTCACTTAACCGTAAATATTATTACGACGATGAACTTACTTCTTATTTTCAAAATGTAAACTCTTTTAATCAGTGTGTGAATATTAGGGAAAGAAGATTACAAAAGAGGCCTGGCCGAGCAACAATTTAAACATGTCATGATTGTAAAATACTCATTCGGTTAAATATAACTCAGAAATAATTCGCCTTTGAAAATTACTTTTTAATACCATACTTCTATTGAGGCCGGTTTCCCCGATATTGCACATGTACAATGAATTTTTTATTTTATTTTTAAAGGTAAAAAAGTTAATTTTTTTATTTTTTTTTATTCTGTCAATTGATTCATGCATTGTCTCCCACTTTAGGCAAGTGTTCAAAATTTCAGATCGATTGGACAGGCATAAGTATGTTAAATATCGATTTTAACATTTATAGCAGACAAACGAACAAGTGAAGATAAAGAGAAGTGTGGTAAAAAATAAATGAAAAATAATTAAATGAAAATACTTTTTCCAAAAATTTGAATACAGTTTTGAGCTCGAACCTTTTAGCTCGGATGTCCCTATTTGTCTTCGTTCCAATTATTCGATTATTACATGTAAATCGTGAAATACTGCAATCAAAAGATATTGCATATCAAATAAATAACAGGAGCAAACTTTTTTACATCATATAGTATGGATAAATTTGTAACAATTTTAAATCTAGTATTTTTAATTAAACCTTCAATAGAAAGAACATGTAGTAAATAGAGGCATATATATATATAGCTTTTCTAAAATATCACTTTAAACACAGGCACTTAGATATGATTCTCTCACTCGTAAATGTTATGAAGATTTGCATGTTTCACTTCGTTCTCAAATCACTGAGAAAAAATTCAATAAGCCCTAGATATTCATATATAAAACCGAAATTCATAATCTCTTGAGATCGATAACTTTTTGCATGTGAGACGAGGGACATCCTTATAATTAAATAGCATCTAATAATATCAACCTGTAGTAGTTTGTACTGGCGGGGCGTGAAGGCGATGCGACGCCGACGTTGAAAAGACCCCAGGTCAAACTCTGCACAAACAAACACGTCAAGTCATTTTAAATAGACTTTAACCTTATATCTATGGATGCATTGACCGTCACTAGTGCTATTCATTGACCGTCACTAGTGCTATTCATTGACCTTCACTAGTGCTATTCATTGACCGTCACTAGTGCTATTCATTGACCTTCACTAGTGCTATTCATTGACCTGGACAGTTGTCCAAGATTCATTGACCGTCACTAGTGCTATTCATTGACCTTCACCAGTGCTATTCATTGACCGTCACTAGTGCTATTCATTGTCCGTCACTAGTGCTATTCTTATCAATAGACTTCGTAACTAGAGTTACCATCAGTAGACGAAGGAATAATCGCAACGCCACTCCTAAACTGTGATAGGATGAGAATTACATATCAACGCAATTGAAGTGCACTGTAACTACGATTAAAAATAATATATGTTTAAAAATTACTTTTTAAAGACAACACTTCCAAAGAATCCAGTGTCTCCAATCTTACAGATGTACCTACAATGAATTTCTCATCTAATTTTCGAAAATCAAAGAAATTAATTCTTCACTTTTTTTAATGTATAAATTTTTACTATATAATTTTTTTCAAAATTATTTATTCTGTTAATTGATTCATGCATTGCCTCTGACTTCACACACGTGTGCAAAATTTCAGATCAATTAGACAGGTAAAAATGTGTCAAATATCAGTTATAAGATTTTTATAGCTGACAAAATTATTTTTTCAATTTTTTTAATATTAAAAAAAATTTCAAATTTTAAAATCATTTATTTTGACATTTTATTCATGCATTGTCTCCAACTTTACACAAGTGTGCAAAATTTCAGATCGATAGGATAAGTAGAAGTGTATTAAATTTCAATTACAAGATTTGTAGCAGACAGACAAACAAACAGACAAGAAGTGAAGTTAAAGAGAAGTGTTGTAAAAACAGGGACATTGAGAAGAATATTTAGATTGTGCAAAGAAGGTGAATTGTGAGACACATCTCTAATCAGCCTGAAATCTTAATCCTTTTTCAATTAAGCAAACAAAAAACATTGTATTCCGATTTTAGATTGGTTAAAAATGGTTAAAATTGTGTTTCGAATTTGATTTTAGACTGGTTTAGAATGGTTAAAATTGTGTTTCAAACTTTGATTTTAGAATGGATCAGAATGGTTAAAATTGTGTTTCGAATTTCGATAAAGAGTGGTTTAGAATGATTAAAATAAAATTGTGTTTCAATTTTCGATTTTAGAATGGTTAAAATTGTGTTTCGAATTTCGATTTTAGAATGGTTTAGAATGGTTAAAATTGTGTTTCGCATTTCGACTTTAGAATGGTTAGAAAATGGTTAAAATTGTGTTTGGAATTTCGATTTTAGAATGGTTAAGAATGGTTAAAATTGTGCTTCGAACTTCGATTTTAGAATGGTTAAAAAATGGTTAAAATTGTTTCGAATTTCGATTTCAGAATTGTTCAGAATGGTTAGAATTGTGTTTTGAATTTCGATTGTAGAATGGTTCAGAATGGTTACAATTGTGTTTCGAATTTCGATTTTAGAATGGTTAAAATTGTTATTCGAATTTCGATTTTAGAATGGTTTAGAATTGTTAAAATTGAGTTTCGAATTTCGATTTTAGATTGGTTTCGAATGGTTAAAATTGTGTTTCGGATTCCGATTTTCGAATGGTGTTGAATGGTTAGAATTGTGTTTAAAAAATTTCGATTTTAGAATGGTTAAAATTGTGTTTCGATTCTGGAATGGTTAAAATTGAAGAGAGCCGCATTTATAGTCCAGCACAGGTGTACAAACCTCCGATAAAATCGATCAATCATCTATCAAGTTGTGGGATACGTTAATTTGCTAGAGGGTGCTACCAAAATATGAGCTCACTATGATCAAAATAATATTTGGTATATATCAACTTCCCGGTATAGAGAGATACGCTACAAAAGTACTCCATTAAGAAAGCAAAAACAGCAGCAGGTTTTTACATCGTTATTTGAAATGAAATTCAAGCACAGTGTTGCATGACACTAATCATTCACTAGTTATTTTTACTAAAACTAAGGCTCGGTAGGCCATGACATAAAGCATTCCCCAAATTTCTTGAAAAATTATGCATGGTGTTTCGTGAAATAAAGCATTCACTGGTTTTTCTGCAGCTAATATTTAAGCTCGTTGTTGTATGACATGAATCATTCACTATATTATTTTTAATTAAATTTAGACCCATTGTTGTATGAAATAAATCCTTGAAAAGGTCTACGGACTCGACTGCTTACAATAAAGATTTTATTATTGTAATTCAAGTTAAATTGTGAAAGTATTGAGAGAATACTTTCAATTACTTGAACGTTCCGTCACTCATGAATCCATTTAAATCTATACCAGATGTGGATCTCATTAGCCGATCGAAATAAAATTGACAATTAAACTCGAAATCCGTTTCATTATTATTTTAATTCCTAGTTATCTTCTGCTCCTAAATCTGACATTCGCCAACCACATTAGACTTGCTGTATAATAGTAAAATATGTACAGAAGTCTTAACACCTGGCCCTCACCGTGCAGGTGGTGACTCATAATGAACTACAACATTTTTATCATAATGCAAGTATAAATGAAAAACTGGATTTTTCAAGGCCGAATTATTCTGAACAGAATGCAATGTGAAGCGGATTTTATTATCCCCATGACATTTTTTTGCTACGAATGTTTCATTTTTCAGCGCATCTGTCAGATGTTCGATGTCTGGAATTTCGCATGAGTGACTATTTGTAATTTTTATTAATTTGAGATATCATGATCCAGCATCTAGCGAATTAAAAGCGTACCTATGAAAAGCGTTAAACCATTCATGGACTGTTACATTAACGGCATTAAAAGCTCCATTGCACGGTACGTGTATGAAATAAAGGGAACTTTTGAATCATAAAGATGAAACAAATGCACTCACACCAATCTCTACTAATATTCCGAAGAGGCAAAATATGGATGGAGTTAGCATAAGCGGCCGACATTGCTAACAGTTGCATATAGTGACCAAAACGAGAACTGCTATAGATGATTAAAATTTCTTCCCTAGTTGAAGCTTTCGGTTGGTAAAGATCGTGAGTGAGCAGCTGTGGCACAGATGCTAGATGAAGGCTCGCAAATAATCAATATGAAAGCGGCCATTGGACGAAGCCTCCCTGCAACACTTGCGCATCTGTCACGCTGACTTTGCAGCTGTACACCTGGGCCAGCGAGATGACCGTGTACCGCATGCACGTACCTGGTCAAGTAGAGACCAGGGCCTATAACTTCAAAAAAAGTTAAGAGAGCGCAAGTTCATCAGCCAATCATTGACGGCCTTTCAAGCAAAATCCACCAGTCATAGACAAGAAAATAGAGCGTAAGTACTTACGTTCCGTAAGTACTTACGCTCCGTAAGTACTTACGCTCTATTTTCTTGCCTATGATTGGTGGATTTTGCTTGAAAGGCCGTCAATGATTGGCTGATGAACTTACGCTCTCTTAACTTTTCTTGAAAGTATAAGACCAGATCGTGTACATTTCTTTTCCATGCTCAGAGAGATTAAAACCCGGATCATGACGCAGTCGTTATGGCGTTACATGAAAACATCGGGCTAGCAGTGGACCGAGTGGTCCGTGAACCCTACTGCTGTTGATGCACTAAATCTGAACTTCCAAAAGATGATGATGTCTGTACTTCCAAAAGTACAATTGTAAGAACTATAACCCACATAAGTTAATTAAGCGTAGCCAGCACAGGAGAACTGAGAATTTTTTCGGGGGTTGGCACCAGAGATTAGTTACGTATGAAATACTTCTTGTGCAGCTCAGCTAAGCTCAAATGACGCCAACTTATCGAATCTGTTCTCTAAAGCTTTATGTAACCGGTTAAGCAGCATGCGGACCTCCGTTGAGAATCGCACTGAAGACCGGACTGAACAAAGGCTAACGGACAATGCTAACTAAGTTAATAACGTCCACTTACAATATTATACAGGTGATCCGATGAAGAAATATAGAAGTGAATGTACTGAATAACTAATGCAGTGTTTGGGATATCTACACGAAGAACTCCTATGAGTACGACAATAAATGGGAATCCGACCAACTAAAAAATCAATTCTAGCCCAGAATCTCAAAGACGCAAATACAAATATTTCATAAGAAACATTTGCAAAAATAATCAGAACTCTACATCCCAGCAGCTGCGCTGTAAAAAACAAAAATTGGAAGTTGCAAACCTTGCAGGTGCATCATGAATGCCAAGTTTCAGCAGCAGCAACGGTTACCAACATCCCATGAGTAAAAAAAGGCTAAAACATTTTCTCAGCATACTCGCTACGCGTTATAACGTTCTCGATCGAAGCATGAGTTGTTTACTTAAACCTTATGGCATATTTCTAGAATAGGGCTCCGAGAAATAGATCTTAAGTGTCATTGCAGAAATGATATTTCATTCCGAATGACTTAACACACATTACATGGCAGAAAGACGCATGCTGGCAATATAAGGTCGGAGTAGAACATTAGTATATGTTGGGAATTGATTTACCCATCTTTCGAAGTGAATGCGAAACTCCTAAAATGTAACAATTTTACAAACTATAATGGTAAGTGGAAAAATTATAAAATGTTAACTATTGAAAATAATTTCTTGAAAACAAGTACATTCAACTCTGTAGCGATATCTATATATGGAACCACCAGCCACTGCAATGAGGTTATAGGCCTTGTTTTCGCTAAATTTATATCAGATATCAAGACTTAAAAACGTCATAAATAGTCAATGAAAGTATTTAATTTAAGACGGAAATGTCTTAAATCACTGATACACATAACTGAACTTTAACCCCACATGAACGGCTGGACTTATAGGTACTTCTGAATCCATCGATAATTGTTTTCAGTATAATATAGCTAAAGACTGCTTTGTAAATTCATCATTGCTTTTTAATTTCAAATGAGTTGCCGCAGAGACAATTAATAGCACAACACTTAAATTTAAAATTAAACATTCGCGATACAGATTATATGTGTGTTTATTATCGATTTTTAGGTATAGAGCAGTAGTCTGCTTCAGTTTAATAAACTGTGAATTCAGAGAGAGACGGGAATTTTATAGTACCATAGGAGTAGTTAGATGAGCTTAGAATTATCGCTCCAAAACGTAATTAAAAATAAAAATTATTCAAAGCAGAAAAAATACTAAAAAAACCCTGTTCAATCAATCACGTGCTACGAGAAAATCACATGCTCGGAGAAAACATTTCATCGACAACTTTAGAGGAGCAAATAGGCAACCTAGTTCTATATTCATCATTAACAAGCATCAGACGAAGTTGATCACCTTTGTTACCTTCAATGTTAATAAACATGAAAAAACGAGTTATGCGCAACTGTTTTCGTCACGATAAGTATGAATCCCAGCCATGAATCCCACGACGTATTGTATTCGTCGTTAGCCTACTTTTTACAGTCGATGAATTTCGTCATTTAAATCATGTGACTATTCCAACAGCTCACCAATTATGTATTCACCATGCAGCATGAATATCATACTAGCATATAAATAACTAACCTGTATTGTCGCTATCCTCGAGTTTCATCTTCAGCAAGCGTAACGACTTGGATTGAGCGCTGCTTGGTTTGCCGTAATCCGAATCGCTCAGGTTTTCAGCACCATCATCAGGCAGCAGCTGCTGCTGCTCCTTGCCTTCTTGTAACATGTTCAGCAGGCTTGCTACAGACTTCAGCTGAGCGTCTCCACTCAGAAGTTTCTCTGTATCAGCTGCCAAATTGTGTGCATCGGAATCATCCTCACACGATTTTGAATCAATTTCATCCTCTTCTTCCTCGTTTCTTGGTTGATAGTTAAAATCGACGCAGAACCCAGACCTGTCACTGGCTGTTCCGGTTCTGTCGTTCCCGGAATCGGATCCTTCGTCTGACGCGCCACTAGCTGTGACGCAGCCGGTGGAGGTATTGTTCTTGGCCTTCTTGTTATTTCCATTGAACAATTGTGGCCTGGGGCGACAGTCCGCACGAGTAGGCAAGATCTGTTCCGAAGATGCCGTATTTCTGCTTGTTTGGAGACTAACGAGCACAGAAGAATGAACTGGAGCGTCAGGGTTAACATTCAGACACGAGCTCAAACCAGCAGGCTTAGGTGGAGGGTAAGCATCAATATTCAGTTGATCACTGTTCTTTTGACGATGGAGAAAACCATTTTCATTGGATGAGTCTTCGAGACGCTGAGACCATGAGGTAGTGTGCGATGAGCTAGTGACGACATTCGACGACAATCTAAATTTTCGGGTAGCCTGAAAAATATGATTTTAAATCTATGAATACAAAGATTTCACATTAAAGATATCATACATATCTTGATTTGATTTGCCATGTTTAACTAAAAATCGACCTTTAATCAATATCTTAGAACATGAGTATGTGATTAAAAGCAATTGAATATAATGATTACGTCACTCACTTCTTCAGAGGCCGCCGGAACAGGAGCGGACCTCGTGAGCCGCTCGTCATCCGAGGTCAAGCATGCATCGACACTTTTTGTGCGATTATCTCCACATAAATCCCGATGATCTTCGTTGCTGAATGAAATATTATTTGATGTGACCCAATTAGTGTAGCTCGCTGAAGCTGGAAGTTCAGTCAGAGTGAAATTATCAGTGCTAGTGTGAACAAAATTCGATGCAGGACTAGAAACAGTTTTTGTTATGGCACTGACATGACTATCGACAACTACTGATGAGGGAAGGGCAGTTGATGCAACCGTAATCGCTTTTTGACTAGCAATCGATGAATTTACAAAAGAATTGAGTATAGGATGCTGGAGGCCGCCAGCAACACTGAACGACGCGATGTTAGTCGATGGTTGTGCGACAACCGGAGTCGTCAATACAACATTAGAGCTGGTGCACATATTGTGATGTGCTGCACCAGGTTGGCCAGCTCGTAAACTAGATGAGTAATCGATCATTACTGGAGTTTCAGACACCAAAGAAGTTTGTATGAACGGCTTTAATAAAAGCGGAGGGTTAGATGTATTTATTTGTTGAGTGGCCATAGATTCAGGTGACGTCAGTAATAAAGACTGAGTTCCCTCTGATGTAACGATGTTTATAACACCAGAAGCGGAGTCGGAGAAAACTTGTTTTGAGTTACTAGCGATGGTCTGACTAACTCCAGCACAAACAGATAGAGGTTGTCCCACGTCCGACTGAATGGAACTATCAATTTGGTCGCCAGCTTCTATTTCGTCCAAAATCGAATACTGTTCACTGAGATTCACAGCATCGTCTTCTTCGATGTGCAATTGCACTTCTCTTTCGCCGGAGAAATGCGCGGGTACTTCGCCCGAGAAACTTACTACTGGAACGTGAGTTTGAGGAAAATCCACAGTTGAGATAGGTTTACGCTGAATAAAAAGCTGTCCGAGAGGCGGAGGGGAAGAAATAGGAGATATATTTTTGACGGTCGTGGGTGACACATTCACCATAAAGACGTCATTGTTAACAAGAGAAATGCTTGACTGCGGTTGAGGACACACTTGACTGACCGGGCTAGCGGAAGGCACGCTCTGTGATGCTGAACCCCGTCTTGAGGTATTAATCCGAATTTTTTTATTGGTGCTTGATGACGGATAATCCGTGGACATCAATGGTCTTTTTGGACTATCATAGATAATCGTAGATGTAGTCGATGCTGCGGTGGCAGCTCTTTCATTACTAATTTCAATCCCAGTTTCTTGTATACCATATACACTTGTCGCGGGAGGTAATACCAACGTGTCAGGAGCAATCGGAACAGACTCCTGCCGGCCGCTTGTCCTGAGTTCTGACGCTTCATCGTTGGCAGGTTCTTCATTCCAAACGTGTTCTCCGTCAGTCGGATCTTGGCTGTTTCCTGCTACCAGAACAGGAGTTGTCTTCGTAGCCTGGGCTTTTGATGCCCGCTTGTAGCGGCTCGTAGTGTAAAGACGCTTTCGGCGACGGCCTCGCTTCGCCATAATTCAGTTTATTACAAAACCTACTTCGGTAACAACGCAAAAAAAATATTAATGTTTCTGTAAGATTATTAGTGCAGTGAAATGACCATTCTATAAAGCTCATTATCCTAGGAATATCTGTAATACCTGGAAAGAAAAAAGTTTAATGTTTCTAGATGATACTTCAAATTTTAAATTCTAATTAATGTAGTCAAAATTGAAAATACTATTTTTGAATTACCATTTTAAATGTAGTCTACCGTTCAAAGAGGAGTTTGAGAAAATAAATCAATACAAATACAAAAAATTTAGAATTTAATACGAATTTGGAGCATAAAATTATAACTTGTAGCAGCATATGTAAAATGTCACTTTCAATGGAAAACGAATCAAAATTGCCGTAATATACAAAATTCCTTTGCTTATGTTTTCACTATAAAATGATAGCAATAAACTACTAGTGGTTTAAACTCGAGAATTTTCAGTAAAAATTAAGAGATTGATCCGCTGAAGATTGAGATAAAATAATTGAAATTGTTTACGATATCAGAATAATTGAAATGGTTCATTAAAATGGTTCTTTGGAACCATCTTCCGCGATAAGAAATCAAATATGAATTTACGGTCGTTCAGCATCCACCGAATCACTTCTGCATCTCCTCTAGATATATACATTTTAACCGCCTCCTGTTCTCAGGGGTCGTAGGCAAATGATTTAAACTGAACGACCACATTTAAACTGAATCTGAACGGACTTGATTTATAAGAATGCAATGCTAAACTCAGCTATTTATATGAATTTGCGTTCACTGAATTAAAACATATATATTTGAAAATATGGTGTGATGCTATTTAATATACAATTGATTGTTTATGAAGAATGCAACAGCAATATGTTATGGAAAGTCAATTCAAGATCTTAAAGAAGGTGGCTTCGAGAGAAGAGCGAACACGTCAACATAATAAGTGAATTTCAAATCAAAACATTGTTGAAATGTTAAGCAATAAAATGGTGAACAAAGAGTGAATTAAGTGCCAATAATTTCTTTGATGCTGAGGCGTATATAAAGACAGGATTAGCAGCAGTCTCATTCAACTAATTGACATCTGACAAAGACCGAAAAGACAAAAAAAAATAAATTAATAAAGACTTTGAAATTGTTTTTGACTGAAATAAATAGAATACCTACACTTTTTACGGCAATACCAAATTTACACTCCACACGAAATGTGTGATTTTTCATCAAATTTTAAAATACATTCTAATGCAAGAACCAGAAATGTAACACCGTCAGTTCGCGGAGATAGAAAATATTCTCTATACGTAGCCAATAACAGCGCTATGTGAGACAATAAATTAATTAATTATTCAGCAAAGGGAGCGACAATCAAGGAAATATTAACCGTATGCAGAAAATTGGATAATACAAAAAGCCATCAATTACAATTATGAGTGCAGCTGATGGAACATCACGGGGCCAACATATCCTGATATAAAAAAGCATAGCGCCTTTTTCCAAATATGAGAAAATGCCCTAAAAATTCCAGTGGATATTTTGTAGCGTATTACTTAATTGGTTTCGATCCTCCTTACGCTCGTCACATTCCAAATTCTTTACGAGGTCGCGAGCGCAACGATCGTATTATTTCGGCAAAGAAATGCAAAGCCTTCAATTTTGTACGTCACGCAGCGAATTATTTCACAAACAATCTATATTCCGATACTTAACTTTATCTAGAGCAGCACCGAGAAAGAAATAGATGCTGATTTGACAAAAAATTATACATCCATCGCTCAATTCCAAGAACAGATGCGAAGAAAACGGAAACAAAAGCCATTAATAATCCTTGAATTCTAAACTTCCGAACTCAAGATGATCAAGAACTTTCCACACACTGATACATATAATTTAAAAGGAGAATATTGCATTTTAAATTCCGCAGATTTACTTTACAATTTTATTATTTGCAAGATCAAATGTTTACCACTCGCTGTTCACCTCAAGTAAATGAAAATCTAATTTGTATTTGTTATTAAACTTTCGTAATTTAAACACAATTAATGTTTAAAAGGAGAATATTACATTCTTAATTTTGCAGATTTACTTTACAATTGCATTATCTGCACGAACAAAGGTTTACCTCTCGCTCTACACCTTAAGTAAATGAAACTCTAATCTGTGTATATTTTTTCGTAATTGAAACACAATTACCGATTTTTTTGACAGTACAGCAGCAGTGCACTCTATAACATTATATACTGACTAGGACAAACAACCATTAAAAATTGCTAACTGAATGTAATCCTACGTATTACACATTTCATGACAGACTTAATTACTTTAACACGCTAATATTGAAACATGATGACACCCTTTAATACGTCTGCGCAAGCCTCCGCAAGAATAATAGAGCAAGCAAGAGGCGCCGTTCTTTCTCAAGTGAGAATCAGAAGTAAAATTCCGCATACATTTTTACTATTGAAAGATTCTTATGCACTAAATGTCTCAGCATTTTCATGAAAATCAAAAGTTGGTAAGCCTTATAAAATAATTGGTTGAAAGAAAAAAGTGGAATTTATATAATTCCTTAAAATTTATCCTATCTGCAATAATACCAAAACTCGAAATCTTTCTTGAATAAGTACAGAGTAATGCGTGTAATTAAACTGTGACGCCGCAACTGATGGATTGCACGGCAATGAACTTAATTACTGTGGTAAAACCCTTTAATAATGATTCATTTTTAGGCTTCTCTCAATTTTACGCCTCTGGACATATGTGTTTAAGAGGAAACATTATACAACTTACACACTATAATGAGGCGGTAGCGTTTCGAAACCTCATAGAATTTTCTTGCCAATCAACTTAAAAGAACAGAATTAATTTTTTTCAAACATTCTTCGATTTTAATTCGAAAACGTTAGTGTTGTTAACAACCAACCGCAGTTTTTTGAACGGTTTATTTTTAGCAGAGCTCACCATGCTGCTTGACAAAATATAAGCAATCATTTACACAAGCAGCACGAATCCAATGCTTTCAGTGTTTCACTGTACTGCAAGTGAAACCGTCTTCGTTATCTAAGTTTTCAAGACATCGAATGATAAGGCAGAACTATGTCTGAGGTTTCTTTGACAGATACAATGCACAATTTCAAAACACTTTTCCTATGAACTGCTGTCAGAAACTACCCCACAAAACAATCTACAAACAGCAAAGTAAATGCACTTTAGAAAATGGAAATCGCTATTTAAATTTGTTGGATCGTGCGGAAGGAAATTAGTTCGTAGGTCGTACGTGATTAAGAACTCAGATAGGTACGTCTGATGACTGATGAGTGCTAACTAATGCATTGGAATATGAGAACAAGCCTCGTGTTCCTTGCCAATGATCATCGAAAATATTAGATTAACAAAAAATTAGGTTAACAATTAGGTAACAACAGTCATCAATGATTTAAACACATTTCATAATCCAGGCTTTTTTGCCGTTCCTTCCAAATTAGTGGGAATTAATGGGAATTAATCGTGAATTCATGACCGTCCTTCCGTTTATGACGTCATATTTAAGCAGGTAAAACTCAGAAAAACGGATGCGAACTAAAACCGATAAATCGATTGAAATGAGACTGAACGGATTTGTTATCGAGCTACTTTTTCTTTCAAAGTTTTTCACTTAACTGGATGGTAATTAAATTGCTGCATTTGGCCCCGCACTGATTTTTTGTTCCGTGCAGAGATATAATTTGTTCTGTTCTAAATAAATTCAGTATTGTTGCAATGAAGACAGTTTTACAGGAGAAAACGATAAAGCACGCTAAATTTATAAAGCACGCTAACAATACAAATTGTAATGCGGGAATCATTCTTCCTTCAAGTCTTCTATTTCCCCTTTATGAAAGAGCAGACTATCCTAAAAGCATCCTTTGCCTATTATAAAACAGAATTGAAAATGAAATCATCATAATGTCAATAGGTAGTTTGGGTTATCGTTCGCCCACTTCGAGGAACTGTGGCCCAAATGTGTGCCGGAACCAATGTTGCAATGCCTCTCGACGTTGGCTAGAAATGCATTATCTGGTAAAGAAAGAATATGATGAAAGCCTTTCTCTCCCACTAGTCATTTAAAGTAAAATTTAAATACAGGAGAGTGTGGTTGATCTTATAAAGGTCTGTCTTACTGCCCTCACAAGGACAAGAGAACGGAGAGGTTACCGTAGCAATGCCACCGCAACCAACGACCAGGTATAAATACCTCACTCTTTAAAAATTCGCTGATATCTCCTCCTGCCTCTTTAAAAACACCGCCCAGCCGGGATCAGTCATAACTTTCAGCACCTATGTACATTGTTTTACGTTTTTGACGCTTGCACATGTGATAAGTATTGCTGAGTAAAGAAGGGAACGATAATCACCACGAGCGGAGGAGCGGCAGTTTCATACGACCGAACAAGCTAGAGCAACTGAGTAGTCAAGGCACAATTACGGCAAACCACTCGGTATCGGTCGAACGAAGCATTTTGAAACGTGCTGACGCTACTTAGTCGTTTCTCCCAATATCACTGCTCTTGTATCACTCACCTAATTTATATGTGTTTCATAATTATTGAATGTCTTTTCTTAACAAAATTCATATATTTTATAATAATATAATGTTTTTTATTGTCTCTTTTTCCCCGATTCCACTGGTATCGTTCGTTTGGACTCGCTAACCACCCATACAGTTTGGGATCGTTCTCGGATTGGCCATAACTAGTTTTGCCGCGTGCGCACTACATCGTGGCATTTGTGCACCTGCGCTCTCCTGAACTCTCTTCTCCTCCTTCATTATACTTTCATTGCTCACAGAACACTTCTTTAGTGCTTCGGTCGCTTCCGATCAATAACGCCAAGCCTAACAGCTTCTCTTATCTCGGCATAACGATTCTCTGAAGGCGGAGGTCATAATTTTAGTTTCAGAAGATAACCTGTACAATGACGTTGAGAAGAAGATGCATGATAGTTCCGAAGCGTGATTGGTGGATAAGTTTAGCCCGACATGATGCACGCTGAGAGCCGTGCCTGCCGCTATCGTGGTGTTCAGTCGGGGCAACGCACCCTACCCCAAGTCACTATGTCTGTCTATCTCTGCCCGGATGCTGCCTTTAGTCATGAATTTTGAGCTTTTACACTTTTTGCGTGTAATGTTGAGAGTCGCGAATACTATATAAACTAAAAAGTATAAAGATTGAACTGTTCTTCTTACAACAACATCGTAGAAGCACTGTTACATTATTAAAACACCATGGTAGCTTCACAGAACAGGTTTTTGGAGCTTAGTTTGCTTTCAGAGTGGAATGTCGTCTTGAATGTCACTCGAGCATTTCTCACTGGGCTCACGGCTGCATCTTCAACTCTAACAACAGCAATTTTGCAACCTCTTAGTCTTCAACCTGTAGCCTGCCGAAAATTCAAGTATATAAATCAAGTAAAAAGGACATTGTTTTTGAGACCATCCCTAGAGAATGTCATTAAAATGTATTCTAACACGTGGTCACAGAAAGATCATTCCTCACATCCATCGGCAATCGTTTAATTTTTTATTTGCGCGCTTATTTTACTGTCCTAACTCGCGAGAGAACTCATTCGCGCCTTTATTTTATTCAAATAACTGAAATTAGGTACATGGAACTGCTATGTAACTAATTGCGAGGAAGAGTATTTGGAAAGTATTAGACGACTCAAGTCAAGTCGCAGTTTAGTAGTGATGAGGCAAAGAATTAATTAAACGACCTCATTCTTTACTCTGCATAGTTAAGCAAAGAAATAGTCAAGAAATGAGTCTTCAGTAATCAGTATTTAGACTTCCTTTCTGTTCTTTCATTTCTGTGAATTTATCTAAAACTATTACAGTTATATGAAAATATTTTCATAAATCCTCATTAATTTGGATTTGAATCATATATTGCCTGCATAAGGAGTTATTCTCTCTGTAAATTATATAAATATACTTAATTGATGTAAACAGGGCCAACAAACTCTTGATTATCATAAGGATACAAAAAAAATATAACTCAGTACTCACTGCAGTGAGTGACAGAGAGCGCATTTTCTCGTCGACGAAAACTTGAGGTGACGGACGGACGGACAGACAGACGGACATGGCGAGCACAATAGTGCATTTTTTCCATAAGTGAGGAAATGCGCTAAAAATGAACGATCGGCAACTATTCGAGGCCGTCTGGAGAGCTGATTTTAGTTGACATTTGTCATAAAATTTCGATTTGAAATATCTAAGCTATACAGCTATTAATAATGTATATCATTACTTAATTCTAAATTTGGACTATTCCTTTCGAAGGAGTAAAGCTTATTATATTCACGGGGAGACAGATGCTCATGACCAACGTGCATCCATTGCCTGATTGCGCTATAGCTATTCCATTTATATGACGTAATCCAGTGGCGTCACTAGTCTAATTTTGAAGGAAACTCAGACGACCTGACATGTTCTCAACATTTCTAGAATAATTTTCTTGCTCACTTATCACAATTAATATTTTTTCTAAAAATGTGCTGATAAATTCAATATAATGTAAACTGAATGTGAATGTATTGTTAATGCTGTAAATATACAGTACATCCCGCGTTTGTTGTTGTAGGCACTGTACTAAAGATGCGATGGTGTTTAAGAAATTAAACGTTCGCTAATGTCCTGCATATCTCCTAGGGGCTTGACTCCCCTTTCCCTTAAAACTAACTAAGTGACGCCCCCCATATAATCGTTAACTTTAAATGGGTGTTAAAGGATTTGTTAGATAGCGATTTTGAATAAGTACTTGCAAGAATTTGTCTCGTGCTTAACTTACTCTAAAGTGGAGGTTAAGCTAGAGTTGAACAGCCCAAAACAACTGCTGCATAACGACTTCTTGAACTGATGTTCCATAGCAGACTAGAATAGAATAGAATAGAAGTGTCGGCGTTGAAGACATAGGCCCATGGCCTGTTGCCGATTCTTGAACTTTTCGTGACTTGATTCACAAGGGATCCGGCCTTTGTTGCTGGACTTATTGCCTGCTCCGTAATTTGCTAGGCATTTTAAGACTGAACATATGCTCCTGCATAGCTTCGTCTAGTCTGTTTTTGAAGATGTTAACTGACTAACTAGACTCGTGCGTAACGGAATAATTTTCTCGAAACGAACCGGGACAACCGGGACGAGACAAGAAATTACCGGGAAACAAATAACTGGACACTGGATAATATTTGTCCCGCAATAAACGTATGAACAGGGACAAGACTTGTGTCTCGGTAATCATGAAACGATACGAGATTCAAAACGAGACGTGACGTAACGAGACGAGACATGTCTTAAATTTTCAAGGCAAACAAGATATTCCTTACTACACTAAACAAAACGAAACATTCCGAACGGGCGGTTAAGGAAATACAAAGTTAACCCTTGATTGTTAATGAGCTGTTGCCAGTTATGGACAGATTCGGCGACATTTCGCTGCCAAACTAATTCGGCAGATAAATTAATGGGTAGGCTAGGCAATGTATTGGTATTGCTGAATATTTGGTGAATGATGTTGCTATTGAGCTTTTAATCGCGCATGACGAGAACCATGCGAGTTCAGAGCGCCTATAATGGTATCATCACGAGTCGGTGACGCGACGTCGCTCGGTCAGCCACTTTTAGCCTGTGGATGGGCTTTCTCAAGCCCTGCAAGATGCCAGGAATCAGAAGTCACAACTGGAAATATTTTAAGGAGCAAACAGGCAAGAACTATGATGGCCGGGGTACAAACAAGGCCAATAGTCGGTGCAAACGTTTTGGCGATATATACAAGCTGAATGATGGCAACACATCGGGCATGCGTTGACACCTTTTTTTATGCAGACGCTGGTTAGTTCTTAGGCTGAAAAAACCTAATGTCGGCCAAAATAGAGACTCTGATGTGACATTAGACGAACTTGATAACATTTGCAATGAAGATGGGGCTTCAATGAATTTTAGAAGTCGAGACTTACAGGAGAATAGTAAACGAGTACGTCGGAAGTTTTGATGTCGGTCAACAAAAGCCAAAATTTACATCCCAGTGAAGGATTGAAGAAAGTGTATGCCATACTGTAGGCTACCGCAGATGAACGTGATTGGTTCCAACCAATAAGTAGAGAACGCACCACTTTATGTTCTCTGAACTTGCTCGCTTAACTTCTCTGTCATTTCATTTTAAACCAAAGATTATTTAAAACAGAAGCAGAATTGTTTCCCTGGTAGATGACTCGTGAAAACTCGTTGGCTTTATTGAGTAGGCTCACAATGGGCAGCTACTGGCCGCTACTAGCTATTAATTAACCCCTCAAGCAGACAGTACCCCTGTGCACGAAGCCACTGCCTGGTAATTAGTGACGATTAGTACTACTGATCGTAGTGTCAATCGAAAACGAAGCCACGCCAAAATTTGCGTCGATTCCTACCGCGGAGTTTGGCCATCAATAAAATATATTTTATATTTCATGCAGATTCATTCAGAACTGAGGGACTTTTGAGCTGTTCAGTTGTGTATTTTTTCGTTTCAATAAAAAACATAATGACATTAAAATCTGTAATAATTCCTGCCGCTACGCATATCTAACAATTAGTTATATTTTCAATTTTACCCTGACCCTCCAAATTTGCTAGATAGGCAATAGCGATGTCATTTTACATAGTAATACGCTTGGAACGTTGTTAACAGACAAAATGTTGATAAGATAATGTCTAAAACAATTTATTATACTAATTTCATATAAATAATAATCATATTAAGGATCAACTAGTACGTCTCGTTATAAAAAAAAATAAATTCCGTGAAATATTGAAACTCCTAATTTAACCGGGCGTCTTGTCTGGGCATTGTCCCGGAATTCCCACTGAGTGCTGAAAAATTTCTCGGTTTTTATTAATAATAACCGTGACAAACCCTGTTGTCTGGTCTCGAATAGAAAAAGAACCAAACACAGAAGTCTGTGACTCACGGCCAGTAATTCGCAGGGAGAGCGATAAGAAAGTTAGGCGTCATCGCGCCAAAGCAGCGAGACGTCAAACTAAGTAATGCCGGAACAATCGACAAACGTTCCCATATGAAATCCAATTGGAAGGAAGATGTCAAGTCAAGGATACATTCTACTATCTTTAAGAAGCATTAAATAACATTTCAGCTGTTTACCGAAGTGAATGTTAAACTTTGCATGCTTACGTGCATTTTGATGTCTACTCCAATTGATAAGAAATTAAGTTCCCAATACGTAAAGGCACGATATCGAGCAGAAAAGTTAATTATTATTTTTTGTTAGGTGCGTAATTCTAAAAGGTCGGAATGAAATAGGAAGCTCTGATAATCTATAGGGAAAGAATTGAAATCTTACAAAAATTCATCTATAAAATTCAAGGGTAGGCACGCTACCCACACCATGCTGTGCAGAACTCGACTCGCTGCTGATGAAAAGATTCGACTGAAAAAAATTTAGTCTTAAATATAATATTCCTTTATTAATTCAGTTTGTTCTTCATGAGTGTGACCATAAAGAGCTCACGATGCTAGACAGAGAGCAGCTACCATCATCTCAGAGCCCTGCTAATGCTGCAGCAAGCCTCCGTGAGCACGTCTCGCGGCAAACAACTATTGACAAAAGATCAGCCATGCGGCTGGAATGTCAGCCAGGTTTCAGCCACACATCGCTCAATAGTGAACAAATCATACGCACTACATGGGCCTTATTTTTGTACAGCAATTTGCACTATACAATTAATAGAAAAATCTGGAATTTTTAACCATTTTAATTTGCACTCATGATGCTTAACAAAAACACAAAATAAATTTGCAAAAAACGTTGAACTACGATTGTAACACTACCCCCAAATATTTTGAACGTTTGGAAGATTTCAAAGAGGGGCCAGCGACATCAACTACACAATGAACTTTCACTTGCTTCCTAACTGTTCTCCTGGGCTAAGCAAAGATTCATTTATTCGTCCAGTGACCGATTATGCAGACGAAAGGGAGGGCGAGGAAGCTGGATTACCGCGTCTAAGTAGCCTGCCGTACCATTCGCAATTAAAAGCTCACAGTTTTGCATTATAGCGGTGAATCCCGAATGTTCGTATCTGATTAACTGGTTAATGATTTTGTCATGAATTGAAAATGAGGATGAAACTCACTGACGTAATGAGACATTTATGTTGTCTGATGAATGCAAAGGCTTGTCTCTAGAGTAATATTGATGAGCCAAGACGATCGTTCACCTCCAAAACACAGCAGATACGAATTTGCAATTCATGGCAGTCCTTTATTTTCATTCAATGAACAGATGACGATAGCAATATTAACACGAAACTCGCTTCTTATCTCTCGTCTCAAATAAACAAATGGAAGTATTGCAGCAGGGGATGATGAAACACGAGAGTTTTTACTAACAAAGGAGGTCTTAATGACCCAGTAACAAGTGCAATTGGAACAGAACTATCGAAACAAAAATGCCCATGAAGACCTTAGAGCATTTGGGGCAGTGTGTATTAGAATTATTTGTCATATAGCATTGTAAGCCTGACGAAGAGAGTAACCAAACTGTAGAAGTTTCAACGTATGTTACGATTAATAATAGAAGGTCGTGTAATACCTGTACTTATTTGACTGGGTTAACTTAGAGAGCAGGAGAATTTTGAGCAAGCTGAAATCTTGTTAACAGCACACGAAAATGAATAAGTTTCCGTTCATTGAAAAAATCAACGACAATAATCATCATTTTGGAAGCAAAATATGCTAAACAGATGTTTTGGGACTGTCAAGTGTCAATTATCAATTATTTTATCAATCGTGCGTTTTCTTAGTTTTTGTCATCAGGATAATTTGTAAATAAATCGGGACTCTCTTTCGAGGTGCCTTAAATGTGTTGCAAAACCCATTCAACGAACCCGTTCAAGGGCCCACGTTTCATTTGTCATGCGTGCGGCTGTAAGGCATACAAAGTATAAAACGTTAAACCGTTTTCCCATGGAATGTTAATTATAGACCTATTGAACCTCGGACATCGTTAGCAATGGATTTCATTTGTTAGCAATCATTACTTCCAGTTGTTCCATGTCTTCAAACAGAACGGGCACCACAAAAAAATAAGACTTCCTCATCGTACTTAGTTTACCAGTGTTGAACCCTTTGAAAATATTTTTTCGGTAACACTTGACATAAATTCCGACTTACCGAGAGTTTATGCTTCAGGTGAAATACTCATCAGATCACGCCTTCACCTTCAACCTTCTCAAGACGATTCAAATACAAAAAATGTATCAAATATTCAGCGCAATGAAAAACTAAATCAAATAAGAAGCATTATTAAAGACTTCAGATAATTCTTTGTGCTTCTTAAAAGTTTACGATCAATAGTCATTAGACTTAGTGGAGTGCTGATTCCATACATGGAATCAGTAATCCCATAAATGGAATTGGTACGAATTAAATGATGGATTAGAATAATGTAATTCCATAAATGGAATCAGTGCGTTTCATAGATCAGCAATGTAATTAACAAGCGAGATTATATGACAAACCTTTACGCTTGCTACCAGCAAATTATGAAATTTGTTACAAGTAATGGCAATATGGAGTCGAGAATAAAAATTTCCAGCCAACTTTGATGAACCTTATTTACAGTAGGAGAATTACACAGGTTAAAATCCTCATTTAGCAAATCCACATATTGATGCCAATAAGTATCAATTAAAACGAGTTGGTGACATTAATACACAATTATTTATAACAGCCAATTACACCGACCATGCCCTCATTCTAAATATCATCCTCATAATGGAACTATTCACTATACTAATGTATATACATCAGAAAGGACAAGAACTATCAAATAATAGAAGTTCCATAGAAACAAATTAGTGTTTAATATTCTCATAAGATATCACATACAAAAACTATCATAATATTTTTTTAGAAGTTGTCTCCACAATCTGCTCATCAGAATCACTCAAGTCACTCTCATCGCTGGTGTCATCTGAAGAATCACATTCAAAAGCCTTGAGGAAATCCTCAGGTTTAAGCTGTTGTGAGAGATTCAGTGCCTGAAATACTGGACTGTCTTGCATGTCATCTGCCTGCACAACAGACAAGTTAATGACACTATCTTCATTATCCTCCACATTTTCCATGTTCAGTTTTTCTAGGTCATTCTTTGACATTTTCTCCAATTTGTTGTTTGATTCTGCCAAGGCTGGGATGAAGCTTTGTAGCTGTGCAAGGAGAGGACTTTTTTCCACCTGCAAATAATTGTGAATGTCATTAATGGTTTTCTTTGGAAATCTTAACTAACTAACTGACACAAGTAAATCAAAATATAAATTATGATATGTAGTAAAAAAATACACAGTAAATCAAGTGATGAGATGAATAATAACTGATAAATAAAAATAAATAGCACTGAATTAGACCTACATAATGCAAACCAGTAAGACAGAAGAAAGTTATTGCATACATATATATTCACATCCAGGATGTATCAGTGGTACCTATAGATCAAAGATGTAAAAATAAAATGCAAGAGATATTCTGAAAAATAAAATGTTCTCATGAAATGATCTAGCATCTCATGTCAAATATTGCCAACAGAAAATTAAGACAGGGCTATTATTCCAATGCAGTTTTCTAGATGAAAAATAAAATAAAGAACCTAAGATGATTAACAAAACTTGGTATTAATCATTGTCGTTTTCATTGATCAATAGGATGCAGTTTGAAGCACTGCACATCAGTAGCACTAACAGAAAGGGTTATAGTCCATGGATGAGTAAGGCATTGATTCCTGAAGATCTATCACATAGGTATTTAGAAATATAAGAATTCAGTGCATCAAATTTAATTTTAGTAAAATATAAAAATTTTGACAAGGTAATGAAAGGGTAATGAAAAATATTTGGAATATGGTAGGTACTTGCAGATATCCAGATCATGTAAAATTTGAAAATAAAAAAGAACTGAACTCACCCGACATATTCTTGGCTTTTCTTTGGGCTTGATTAAAGAATTTTTTTCCAAGAAGGATTTTAAAACAGTTTCTCGACCTGCAAGAAAAGGATTTGTTTAGATCTACTAAAAATACAAATTGAAGCAAATGCCAAGATTAAAATCATTAAAATAAAATAATTTTAATCTTCTACAAAATTTCTACAGTCAAAATTCTCATGCTGTTCCTGCATATATCAGAATTTAAATCTGTTTCTCAAGGAATTAAAACTTCTAAGAGTCCAACCTGCCCCATGATATTAGGATAGAATAACAATATGTATGTTAAAATTGCAGATATGATGAATGTAAATTATTTTACAAATCAAATCTTATGACTTAACCAAGTAATTATAACCTAGTTTCTTAAAATAAAAATTGAAATATATGGACAATTTTATTTCCAGTTTCCAAGCCATTTTATTGGGCAATAGTTTCAATCTACATCAAATATGGTAGCATTAATTATTATACTTGATGATACAGAAAATAAAGTAACCCCCCAGACAGGTTATTTTTCAATGCAGAGTAGAAATATAATGACAAAGCAGTTCAACATGGCTTTGCTCTGGAGGTTGTGTGCACTAAGGATTATGTTACGAGCATAAACATGCAGCTGTCTAAATTAGTATTGCAGGTTAAATTTGCAGAATGGGGTACTGTATTCAAGTACCCTGCTGGAAAAATGAACCAAGTTTCCCCAAGGTGCAAACTAATAGATATTTAAGTGTAGCTACCACAGCAATTGTGGTACAGCCATGATTCTATCAAATATAGAGTCATGCATATAAGTGGAAATATCTTGCATTCATATATATATATATATTTATTAAGCTGTGACTACATTTGGAGTTGAGATGAACTAAACTGCATAATTCAGAATAATTAAATATTAAATACCAATTTTTAGAAATTAACATAAATTCACTTACTGCCATCGCCTGAAACTTCTAGAAATGTTTTTCTGCCTCCATCCTGGTTATCCATAGCTCATAGGTTCTCAATCAACAACACTTGACTGGAAAAAGTTTTTTCATACATGAAAAATAAACAACTGAAAAGCTAAAACAATAGTCTCAAATTTCTAAAAACAATAATTTGTAGAAAATATATTACATAAGTAATTTAACAAGCAGTCTAGCAGGTTAGTCTGGCCTGAGCTGAATAATATGCATTTAAAAATTACTTTTTAAAGAGAACACTTCTAAAGAGGCAAGTGTCTCTAATGTTACAATGAATTTTTTATTTTATTTTTAAATATTAAAAAATATTATTTTACTTTTTTTCAATTTTAAAAAAATTTGTTTTTAAATTATTTACTCTGTCAATTTATTCAAGCATTGTTTCCAACTTTATGCAAGTGTGCAAAATTTCAGATCAATTGGACAGGTAGAAGTGTGTTAAATATTGATTCTAAGATTTGTAGCAGACAAACAAACAACAAGAAGTGAAGTTGAAGATAAGTGTTGAGCAGAAACCATCCATGAACAAGATTAAAACACACATGCTTGCAGATAATTCCTCTTTTCCAGGCCTTTTTATGGCTATAGCCCTGGCCAAATATCTTTTATAAATTAACGACACAGATTTCTGGGTGATTTTGTGAAATCATCTATGAAATGATTATTATAACCTTAAAAATTTGTTATATTCTGTCTTTAATTCAAGATTAGGGTTTGGCTTGTTAATGCCAGGAATTTCAAAATAATAATAAAGTTATTTTTTTCTATGCTAACTAAAAAAAGTAACATGTAAATAAAGATTTTTGAGACAACTTCTTACTTCTATTTACCTCTCAATTGTAAATGTAACAAAAAACTATTTTGCTCTATATATATATACCGTATCTATATATGTAACAATTTGACAATCAAATTTTAATGGTTAATCTAATCATTTCTTTCCAGTTTTCACATGCCTTACTATTTTACTATTTACTCTAAATTACTCACTGGTTTTAAAATTTCATTCACAGCATTAAAATTTAAATCATGATCTCATTGAGTACATTGACTAGTGTCTAGTGAGAGTGCATTATATTTTACATACCATGCCACTGCCAGTGAGTCTGACAGTCTAGGACCAAAAAAGCCCAGCCCCAAGGGCCAAAGGCCAAAGCTCCATAATCTATAATATTTACTTGCATTGCAAGGCCAAGCTTCCAAAGTTAATTGTCTCTAGTTATAAATTCACAAATTTAAAGATTGAAATTAAATATTTTAATTAGAATACTCATATTAGGGGTGGAAAATCTTTCTAAATGCCTAAAAGATCAATACAATCTCAACCAACCCTTCTTTTATATAAGCTAGCTAACACTTGTAAATTGTATAATGTAATTAATATATGACAAATAGTCAAAAAGTTAAAGACTACTTATAGCCTTATAAGAATGAGCTAAGCTGCTAGCTATGTACAATGTATTACAACACTTGATGACCTTGTACTGAAAACATACAATTCATTGGGATGTAATACACACTAAAGGCAACAGGTTTATATTCCAATTTGTCATAGTACTGGTACATTTATACTAAACCATGAATAACAATACCTCAAAATAAATTAAAGAATGCCACTCAAATGACTCAATATATTTAAATATATGAAAAAGTATAAAAATCGTGATTTTTTAATAAAAAATCAAATGATTTAATCAGTTTGATTTAATCATTGCCAACCCTGTTACTAGTTATACTACTAATATACAAAGATCAAATCTGTCAATATATGTAAGCATAATTCAAATACTGAATAAGAACCTAGCCTCCTCAAGAGTCAAGAAGCTCCTATCAGGCTCAGCTAGGAGCTAGCCTATTATGGTGGCAAACCACAGAAATTTTTAGAATCAGTTCATTTTTAATTTCCTGATATACTTAAGATTTAATTTTTAAAGCAAAATCTTATGTATGATAATGCTGGTACGTATCCATATAATACTTTGCTGGTCTAAGACCAGCAAAGTATCATGGTGGGCATTAGTCACCGCAAATCATGTCGTTTGGCCCTACAAGTGAAATATATTGTTCAAATTCAGCCTGGGTGACGGGGGAGCAGAGGTTGTAAAATAGAAAGATTTTAGACCATGAATCCTGGTGTGCAATTTCCACTGCCGGGCTTTGCATCTGGCCATCATGGTATGCATCCAATGCTACTGCTTTTTGTTGTAGTTGCACTCCAACCAACACCAGAAGTCCCCCAAAGTCAATTCTCTAACCTGTCGGTAGGTCACATATCCTGGGAAGTAGGAATCATGGAGAGTGCCTTTCCTATAGGTGTGTTTCTGTGATGCAGACCACAGAAGGGGTTGAATGGACCAGAAACAGCTTCATTTCAGATAGTTTTGCCATTAGCTCTTGGGCATTCCAGAGAAACACTGATTGAATAGGCATTAGGATGACAACAGTTGGCTAATCAGTGAGGCAAGAAGAGGCTGGAAGATTGTGGATAGTAGACTGTCAGATGCAGATAAGTATTCTGAGAGGGAGTGTAAACAGTGAACAAAAAGTGATTTGAAAAAATTTGCCAGGAGATCAACAAATGAGGATTTTGTTATGGGTTCTTCTGGTTGATTGGTAGCAGGGGATGCCGTGAAGTTTTGTGAGTTGAGGCAGAGGCAGAAGATCTGTAGCGTCAGACCAGAAATGACCTCTTAGGATACATTGGTATTCTTCAGACATGTGCGCTGTGCAGTGGGGTAGGAGAGCCTGGGTTTTTTCTTTTACATGAGGGGGCATCAAAGGAGGGGCAGGGTTGCCCTGGTGTTAGTCCGAATGAGGCATAGGAGGCTGGCCGCAGTGAGTTTGCATGGTGCATTGGGTTTGGAGCCCTGTTTTCTGGAAGCTTTGGTAGAGGCATGACAGTGGTCACTGGTATATCACTGGTCTGTATCGTGTTTCTTGAAGAGGGTTGACTAGGTTGGGTTTTTGTTTGTACGTACAGAGCTGCATATTTCTTTGCGGCCATCTCACGGGAGAGAACTCTAGATGCAACAGGGGTGAGAACTCTAGATGCAAGATTGCCATGGCCTTTTGGGTCTAGTCTTTGACAGGAGATGGAACTGTGGCCAAATCTTTGGCAACTGCAGCAGCAGGTCAGGGGGGGGGGAGGGGTGGCAAGGTAGGAGTGTACTTTAAGTGAGACATTATTGAAGAATACCTTGTCTGGTACTGCCAAGGGGCAAGGAGCACTTGATTGCTATTTGCATTGCTTGAAAACTGCTGTTGTTTGGATTTGCAACTACATGGCTTGGGAATAGCTTTTTAACTGAGATGATTTTATTTGCATCTTGGTTAGCATTGAGAGTACGCTCGGCTAGGAGATCATCAGTGGTATAGCTCAGAAGGTAGTCAAGGTACTTGTCCTCTTACGTCTTACTCCTCTATATCTGAGAAATCAAATATTACTTCCCCTTGGAACATGGGTGGCTATCTAAGGATAAGAATTTTGTATTTAATTCCATTGTGTTCATAGTAGTGCTCTTTGCTCTGAGTTGGTAAACTGGTTTAATTTATTGGCCAGTACTTCCCTAGCCCAGTGATTAGGGTGCCCTTCATATTTTGGCAGACTATCAGGTTTGAATGATGAACTGTAATGCTGGCCAGCTTTTGGATATTTGGGCATAGAAATTGAATGGCAGGGCTTTTTTAACTTCTCGTAGCAGAAGAAAGGTGGTAGATGAGTGACTGGCAGGCAGTGCTTCAAACTGAAACTGGGCACTGGGTGGTGTTGTTTGAGGCAGGTTCTGAAAAAGTTGATGAAAGGACAGGTTTACTAGTATTTATAGTATAGTTTTAGACACTAGTATTTATAGATTTACACTGGGTTTCAAATTAGACTACATTATTACTACAACACCGCGAACTTTGGTTGTTAAGCGAAAGCACCACACTTTTTTTTTTTTTTTAATTTGATTTTAAGACTTTGGGTGTGAAACAGTCACACCTCCCAGCCTGAGCACAACTTGATTTTTCTTGAAAAACTCCAACTCAACTGCCTCTTCACTTCACTTTGAATCTTTCCTCATGCTCTCACAAAGGGGTTTTTGTGTGGAAGAAAATAACAAAGGAATTAGGCACTGATAATTTTCATAGGGTGTTCACCATGCTGCATTTTAGCAGGTATTGTCCCAGGTGATGAATGACTGCAGTTCTCCTTTTTTGTGAAACCATGTATTAAATTTCATAATTATTGGTTACGAATTGAGGGAATAAAACGTGGCTACGTGACGGAATTTGCCCGTTTGCACCCGTTTTACCGTTTTATTTGCAAAGTAGATGAGTTAAAATTATAAAAAAAATCGTCGCGACTGCGCAATAAGCATGTTAAAGCATATATCAACTTTCATAATTATTGGTTACGAATTGAGGGAATAAAACGTGGCTAAAGGCAGTGCTGGTATAGGGCAGGTTCAGGGCCGGGCTGGCCCACGCTGTAACCCACGCTAACGCCCACGCGCTTTTGTCCGACCGGTAGGAAACAGCAATGTTAGTTTCGATCTTATAATACAAGAGATTCTGCATGTGTTGCTTATGAGTTATATATAGTTGATGGGCATTCATTTTAACAGCAGTGGACAAGTGGTTAAAGTTCCGCGCACCTACCAGCTCCATGTGACAGTTCTGCTCAAAATCAGTGAGGTGTGTTCGAGACCTTATGCAGAACTTTTGGAATGAATTTCCATAGCAGGTTTTCCACGCATAACTTAGTCAAATCAGAACCAATCAGGTATCATAAGTTTGTCAATGACAGCATTGCTAATGACTAATTATATTTTAAATTTCAAGCAGAACCGTTCATAATTGGAAGAGTCGTGATTAGACAAGTTGCTTGAGTCTACAGGTGCATTCGGAGTAGTGTCGAACAGCGGTCTCATACAAGGCCCCCTCCAACACTTTTGTGACGAATTTTTAAATAAATTTTCATAGTAGGTTTTCCAATCATAAATTCGTAAAATCAAAACCGATCTGGAATAGATAAAAAATGAATACATTTATTCATAATAAAGGCTCATGCGAGTGTTATCCCATTTTTTTGTCTGCTACGATTTTAATTTATTTGCTCAATGCTGGCATCGGCTTGCCCGGCGCTATCCGACCACAGGTCTCGGAGAAGTTAATTTTCAATAATCCAATCAGAATCACTTCGAAAACGTAGACAA